GCGCCCCAAGCGGACCATCCACATTGACTGCGAGAAGCGCATCACCAGTTGCAAGGGCGCCCAGGCTGACGTGGTGCTCTTTTTCATCCACGGGGTGGGCGGCTCCCTGGCCATCTGGAAGGAACAGCTGGACTTCTTTGTGCGCCTGGGTTACGAGGTGGTAGCTCCTGACCTGGCAGGCCACGGGGCCAGCTCAGCTCCGCAGGTGGCTGCCGCCTATACCTTCTACGCGCTGGCGGAGGACATGCGCGCCATCTTCAAGCGATACGCCAAGAAACGCAACGTGCTCATCGGGCATTCGTACGGGTGAGTGGGCCCTGGGGCCAGGGCTGGGGATTGTCAAGGACCAGACAGCCATGAGATGCTGACTTCCTGCAACAAGACAGCTGTGTCACTCTTACTCACGTCCGCACATTTTTTATGGCAGCATTTTCCAATCTCAGCACTATGCCCTTTGGGGAATCTTCATTGGTGGTTCAGTGGTAGAATTCTCCCTTCTAATCGGGACATCTGGTTCAATTCTGTACCCAGGTATCATATGCACATTCTGCTCCCCAACTCTGTGCCTCACTTTAAACCCTTCTGTCTGTAGAGTCTTGCATGTTGCTGAATCAGTTTGAGCAGAGTTTTCCAGACTAAGCTTTGGAAGAAATGCCTGGTGATCCACTTCCCCTGAAAACTGTGAATCATAGTGGTGTGACCAGTTCCTGCTCACAGAGATACCGTAGGGCTAGGCAATGTTTTATTCCGCTGTGCCCAGAATTCCCCTGAGTTCAGGCTGACTCCCAAGCAACAACAGTGCTTTGCTGTGGGGACTATTCTGAGCACTGTAGCACCTTTAACATATCCCTCAACCATGTTAAAAAAAAAAAGGCTTCAGTGTTTCCCAAAGAACTCTGGGTGCAGAATCACTTCAGGTGAGAACTGCTGTCTTAGACTAAATTTAAAGATGAGCAGCTCCAGTTAACCTCATGTGGTGGGAAAAGGGCTTTCCGGAATCTAGAAATCCTACTTACAATTTGCCAACAGCCTGGTATCTGACCACTGAGAAGTTGTATCATTCTTTTCTTCTCTCTGGAAGAAGTAGGAGATCTGATAAGCCCAGCAGACTGAGAACCACTTTTTTAGCAATTGGGTTGGGTTTTTGTGGGTTTTTTGTTGTTTTTTTTTTTTGTTGTTGTTGTTATGTGCCATGAAGTTGGAACCAACTCCTAGCTGACCCTCCAGTGGATTTTCAGAGGCTTCCCATCTTTCTCCAATGGAACAGCAGCTGGATATGAACCACCTATCTTTGAGGTGACAGTCCAACTAGGCAACCAGAGCTCCCTTTAGCCCATGCACTAAGACGAGAAAAACAAATGTTATACAAGTATCTAAAAGCAAAGAATCCAGGCTGAGGGGTAGCATAGCTCTTACTTGCTAAAATGGTAACATCTTTAAGAAGCCAGTGCTTATGGCAAGTGACACTCCAATGTGATAGTTTCTGTCAACACGTTTATGTGCATCAACTCATAACAAGGCTATGTGGTCAGCATGGTTACCATCTCACCAATGTTCAGACTGAAGGTCAGAGAAGGTTAAGTAACTTGCCCAAGGGCACACAGTCACCAGTACAGTCAAGTCAGCTGACTCCTTCCTGTATTCTGTGCCTCAAAACAAAATGCCCTGTGATGGAAGCTCATTAAAACAAGCCTGGGGTCTCTTTTTTTTTTACTAGCTAAAGGCCCAGGAGCTGAAACTTTAGATTTGTAGTCATACAGTCTCTGTTGCAGCACAAAAGCTGCCATAAAAAAAAAAAATGAGTGTTGCTGTTCCATCAAAGAAACTCATTTGCAAAACAGTGTGAAGTCTGTTTTCAAAAATTGGGTGGTTGTCCACCACAGCTTTAGAGGGAATGAGGAACTGGATTTACAGGGCCCCTGAGGCCTTCTACCTACCGAAGTACATGCCCAGAATATGAGGGAGAATGAGGACAGGGGACAGATACACGGACAGCTGGTGCCTTCTCTGGGCCCCCCCAAACCAAGCTCATCGCTGTCAGGCTGTTTCCGGCTCCTAGAACCTTGGAGTGCGTAGTGGTGGGCTCCAGAGTGTTTCCAAGGCTGTAAAACTTGAAGGGAGCGCACTGCTTCATCTTTCTCCTGTGAATACCTCTCTGTTAGCAGCCCAGTGTTTAGCCCACAGTGCCACTAGGGCCGCCCAAAGGGTCTTTTCAGCAGATTGCTTTCCAGGTATTTGTTGTTGTTGTTAGTTGCCTAGGAGTCAGTTTCAACTCCTGGTGTCCCCATGTGTGTGCAGCAAGTGTTTCCAGGTTTGTGACCTTCTGGAAGATGTCCAGGCCTCTCTTCTAAGGCGACTCAGGGTGGGTCTGAACTGCCAACCTTTCAGTTAGGAGTCATACCCTTTTGACGGAGTCCTAGAGCATTTGAGAAAGTTCTGCATTTGGATTCTTTTTCCAGAAAACACACACATATACACACACACACACTCATAATCTCAGAAGCCCTGAAAATGCCCCACTCCATGAGGTGACCGTGAACCCTAAGGAAGAATCTTGGCTTACAAGATTCCCACTTCCTAGAGAGCTCTGGTGGCCTACTGGCAAGAAGCTGTACTCCAATCCCAGAGATACGTGATTCAAATCCACCAGATGCTCTGCCGGAGATGGAGGGGCAATCTCCTCCTGTACCAGTCAGATCCGATTTGACGGCATACACACACAAAAAAATAATTAAAAAAAAAAGCCACTTGCTGGAGGAGGGAGGACATTAGCCCCCTCCCTACGTTTTCTCCTACTAACGTTCAACCTTTCTGCCCTTCACCCTCGGGCAGCGTCTCCTTCTGCACATTCCTGGCCCATGAGTACCCAGACCTGGTGCACAAGGTGATCATGATCAACGGCGGGGGGCCCACGGCACTGGAGCCCAGCTTCTGCTCCATCTTCAACATGCCCACGTGCGTCCTGCACTGCCTGTCCCCCTGCCTGGCCTGGAGCTTCCTCAAGTGAGTGCCTGGGAGTCGGGTGGGAGGGAAGGCTGGACCACACGACTGGGGCTGGCGGTCGGGGTGCCCGTGATGGTGAGTCTGGCACCAGAGCTCCAGAGATGCTTCCCCCCAACACGCCAGGGCCGGCTTCGCCCGCCAAGGGGCCAAGGAAAAGCAGCTACTGAAGGAGGGCAACGCATTCAACGTATCGTCCTTCGTGCTGCGTGCCATGATGAGCGGTCAGTACTGGCCCGAAGGCGACGAAGTGTACCACGCCGAGCTCACCGTGCCAGTCCTGCTGGTCCACGGCATGCATGACAAATTCGTGCCAGTGGAGGAGGACCAGCGCATGGCAGAGGTAGGGGGCGGGGCCAGAGAGGAGACGGCAGTGTGGGGGCGTGGACATGTAGATCAGGGGCGGGGATTCTGGAAGCTCCGCCTCCGCCGCTTCTGCGCAGGCACAGATTTGTCCTTTCATTGGAAAAGATGGAGTCCCCAGTAGTAGGGCTGCCCTGGACAGTTGTGAAGGGGTCACCCACGTCCCCAGCCACCATCCCTCAGAAAATGCATGCACTATGGCATCAGGGGATACCAGTGCGGGACTGTGTGGTTCTAAGGCAGCACCGGGGAGCATCAGACTGGATAGAAACATCAGGGAAAAGAACTTGGGGACTTTAGCATTTAGAATAACTGGAGGAGGAGTGCTCACCTTCAACCCCAGAGGAGACTACACAACTTCTGGAGAATATTTTTGGTTGTCTTGCCTGAAGAGGGGGGTGTTATTGGCATCTAGTAGGTGGAGGCCAGGGTGCTACTTAAAACTCTTCAGTGCACAGGACAGTTCCCACCACAGAGAATGATCCAGAACCAACTGTCAGCAGTGTTAAGGTGGGAAATCTTGTTCCGCATATACTGTACAGAGTCACTTAGTAAGTGCTAATGAATGACTGTATGACCATCATTTCCTGCTCCATCCAGCAGGGCAACAGGACATTTTTTGACTCCCCATTAGGTGGAAGGGTAAGGTGAAGGGTAGATTATCTGAGGGACTTCCTTTGTTTTCCTGTAGAGAATTCCCTAGACTGGCAATCTCTACCTCCTGTTGGTAGAAGGGAAGGACAAAGTAGGCTGCAGGAGGGACTAACTGATTTCTTAAGTCGAACACATCCCCAGACAGGCTCCCCACAGAGTAGACTCAGAAGGATGGAAGGTAGACAGATTGCAGGGGTGACTTGCTTGTACCAAGGGCCACGAGTAGGTAAGGCCCAGAGATGAAGGGTAGATTCAAATGGGACTTCCCAGTTCCGAAGGCAGCACGTGGATGATGAGGGGGTTGGAGGGTTCAGGGCGGCCTGCCCCGTGCCCACTGTTCCCACTGTCCCGCGCCCGCCTAGATCCTGCTGCTGGCCTTCCTGAAGCTCATTGAAGAGGGCAGCCACATGGTGATGCTCGAGTGCCCGGAGACTGTGAACACGCTGCTCCACGAGTTCCTGCTGTGGGAGCCCGAGCCCACGCCGCAGGCCCTGCCCGCGCCCCCAGAGGAGAAAAAGTAGCCGCGGGCGGCGGGCATCACATCGTGAGCGGGCGCAGAAGGAGCGTGCGCCAGAGCCATTTCTTCAGCGCGGCCATCTGGGCGGCCACTCGCTCCGCCCCGTGGGCGGGGTCAGGTCAGGGAGACGCCCCCCCTGGGGCGGGGCTTGGGAGCTAGGTGTAAGCCCCGCTCTCTGCTCTCCGCCTGCGTCCTGCGGACCCTTACTGTTTGGTGCCCGCAGCCGGGACCCTGCGGAGGTGACCTTGTATAGAAGCCCCCCACACTCCTGACGCCACAGCCCAAGCAGGCCTCCAAACCCGCTCTCTGTCTTCGTGTCAGCGTGCTTTATCCCGGGGCCACCCCTTTCCCCAAGACCCTCCCCCCCAGTAACCCCTTTTCCACAGCGCTGGGAAGTATTGTCACCCAAGGTGGGTAGGGTGGAGGGTCTGGCGCCATAGAGCCTGCACATCTCAACTTATAACTCAATAAAAAGAAATGACAATCGGGGTCTCTGAAACCCGTGTTGGGGGATCCCAGAGGGGAGGCTTCATGCCCTGAGCCTCAGTTTCCACATCTGCAGACTAGCTTGACGCTAGTGCGGCCCCCTCGGGTTTGCAGAGGACGGAGCTGTCTATGGTCCAGGTTTGCTTCCTGACCACGCCTGCCACGCAGAATGTAGAGGCTGCTAGAGCAATAGTAGTCCCATAAAGGGAAGCAGCCAATCAGAGCCTGAGGTCCACCATGGAGGTTGTTAAGACCAGTGGACATGGCACAGGAATCCTGTTTGCTGCCCTTCAGTCTGCCAGATCTATCATGAGCCCATGCTATATAGTCTTTGAACTTCATCAGTAAGTGCTTCATACCCTCTTTGCTGCCAGCAAGCAAGTCTGTGTCATCAGTATGTCAAAGGTTGTTGATGAGTCTCCAATTCTATTGTTTTGTTCTTCATATAGTCCAGAGTCTTAGACTGTTTGCTCAGCTCACAGATTGAACAGGTATGGTGAAATCTGTACCATATTGCTGATTTTCTATCTATACTTTTCCTGATTTTAAACCATCCAATATCCCCTTGTTCTGTTCCAACGACTGCTTATCTTAGTCTTCGTGCTGGTTCTGCATGAGCACAGTTAAAGTGTTCTGAAGTTCTCATTCTTCTCAATGTTCTCCATAATTTGTTTATGGTACACATAATCGAATGCCTCTGCATAATCAATAAAACACGAGTAAACATCTTTCTGGTATTCTCTGCTTTCAGCCAAGATCCATCTGACATCAGCAATAATATCCCATATTTCATGGTCTCTTCTGAAGCCAGCTTGAATTTGTGGCAATTGCATTATGTATTTTAATTATCTTCAGCAAAATTTTACTTATGTGTGATATTCATAATATTGTTTGATAATTTCCATATTTTTTGGCCACCGTTCTCTAGAATGGGCACAAATATGGATCTCTTCCAACTGATTGGTCATGTTGCTGTCTTACAAATTCCTTGGCATAAGAGTGAGTGCTTCACTTTGCATTTGTTTTTTTAAAACATCTTAATTTATATTGATAATTCCTGTAGTCCTGTGTGTTTTTTTTAAATTAATGCCTTCAGTGCAGCTTGAGCTCTTTCAATATCATTGCTTCTCTTTTGTTTTTTCCTCCATGAGACAAAAATTTTAATGAAAATTGATTAGTGGGTATGTAATAATCCCCAGGACTAAAAATAGTTTACACAGGCTTGTATTTGAACTATAATATCATCTGATTCATAGTCCTTCAAAGATTCCTTAGCATATTTCTCTGCTTCTTCCCTTATATCTTTGGGTACAATTTCATGTCTTCCTTTAGTTAATTCACCAACCCAGCTGAGCTCTGGTTCAAAAGTTTTGTCCTTCATCTCCACAAGGGAGAACGGTCCCCATCAACAGCATCCACCACACAAAAATGTTCCTGTGAGTTCACATATATGCTGTCACAATCCTCCACTTCCTTCTATCAATTCCAACCAACTCCAGCTGTTACCCTCCCCCACCCCCACCCCAGGGATCTCACTGCACTACTGTGGGCTCCACCAATCTGTTACAATGGCCATACAGAACTCACAGGCAATTAAATAATGGGGTTTAATAGGGAGTGACAGGTTACATTCAGGTTGAAACGGCATACAATTCTTCAGTCAGGAAAGCTACTCAAGTGTGCTCAATCGCTCTCTCAGACCTACAGCCTTGAGACTTTGAGCCAGTGTTGCTAGCCTTTCTTGCTCCTGCCAATTATGACATCTCCTCCAGACCTCGTAAACGTGGATGAAGGTCTCCCAGCTTTGGCTCCCTGGGGCAGCAGTGCTAGTTCAGCTCCTCTCTATCTCTGGTTCTCCACCACCTCTTCTGTTGCTACACCTTGATCTTGGTCATCCTCTGCCATGTATGCAGGAATCCCGCAGGCCCTAAAAGAGGCATGCTTCACTCTCTGCTTCTTCTTTCTTGCTGGCTGTGAGATTCCATTCTTTACCCCTGAACCTGCTCGGTTTAAACCTGACGGGGTAGCAAACTCAATCCATCCCCTCATTAGTTGTCTATATACTTTGTTTGCAAATTCCCAGCCCAAAGGTGAAAATCAAAGCCAGATGCTAGGAAGGCCATTTTGAACAATCACGCACCACGGCCGTGTGCCATGTGTATTATTTTTGCAGCTTCTTTTAACATCACGGCAGGTCATTTCTTTCTTCTGAAGGTTTTTAATTTCTGGCTTTGTCCGGCTTTACCAACAGCACAGCCCTGACCACCATGAGAAGCACTCAATGAGGGAATTATGTAGAATTGTGCACCGTAATTCACACCCCAAAACCCTAGAGGAACCTGTAGCCCAAAAGACCCAACCACACTGGAAACAGTATGCGCGGGCACACACACATTCTCTCTGTCCTAAAGACTTTTTCATTAAGTGTGACCTGAAGTTAGAAATATCTTCTCTTCCGTTTCTGCTTAAGAATGAGCGTCTACCCACATGCTTGTTACCGCCATGCTGATCGGCCAACCGATGTTAAGATGCTGATGGCTGGAACCTCCTTCATAAAGTTTGGAAAGGGCTAATTTCTCTACTTCAGAGATCACATCATCTTGACATATGATCCTAATAATTGTAGTACTGTCTTCCCACAGCCTTCATGGCATATTCAACCAGAAAAGTCTTCCAGCCAGTGAGAATGTGGAAGCTGATACCAGATGCCAATGGAGCTCAACATGCTGGCCAACCAGGACGTGTAGGACTTTAAGGCTTAAAGTGCTCCCTCTTCCTTCCAGCACCGCCCATTGCATTGGTTTTCCATCCTCTGTGACTTCCTCAAATGGTTGAGTGTCAAGCAATTCTTTTCCAGTACCCTGGGCTGTATTCCTTCCAGCTTTTTGTTGTTGTTGTTCCTGCATCACTCACTATTGTGCCCATGGAATCCTTCAGCCTTGCAATTCAAGTCTTGAACTTTCACATATTTTTAGCTCGAGAAATGCAGAGTCCGCTCTTCACTTACGTTTTTCTGCCGGTCTTTGCACATTTTATTAGCCTGCTTTGTCTTCTCTGGCAAATCTTGAAATCTTTAGCTGCACAGCTTGTTTTAGATGGTCTCTAAATTCCAGTGAGATATTCCCAGAGCAATGCGCAAATTGTCAAATGGACAGACAAGTAGCGCGACAGATGGTTGGTGGCTATGAAGAAGGTTTCGGTTAAACTCAGCTAGGTTCTTTGGCTTGGAGGACAGCTGTCATAATTGAGTGCTCACTGTATACTTCTAGTCCTTTGCTGGCTGCCTGAACTCCCCGGTTCACTGAATCTCCTCACTCCAACCCACCCACTCCCATATCTTTGACTTGTTCCCACTTTATTTTGCCACTTGGTTTAGGGGTGCGTTCATCATGAAGACTACTCCAACTTGTCTTATTTTATTTATGTCTGGCTGAAGGCCCAACTTTTGTTGTTCTATACATCCAGCAGAAGGTACAACCAGGATGCTGCTTAGCGGCAAGGATGGTGACACTCTGCCTCATCTACTTTGGGAATGTTTTTAGGAGAGGCTGGTCCTTGGGAAAAGACATCATGCTTGGAGAGTTGGAGGGTCAGCGAAAGCGAGGAAGACCCTCAATGAGATGGATCGACACAATAACTGTAACAATAGACTCAAGAATGGCAAATATAACAAGGATGGCCCAGGACAGGATGGGGTTCAGAGGGTCACTATGAGCCATAGTCAACAGCACCTAAAACCAACATATAGCTAGGAGTGATAAGGAGTTGTGCTGCCAACCCAAAGGCATGTGGTTCAAATCCACCAGCTGCTTCATGGGAGAAATATGGACACTCTCTTCTTGTGCAATTACTGCCTCTGAAAACCTACTGGAGGGTCAGCTATGGATTGGTTCTGATTTGATGGTATATAACAGCAACCACCTTATATCTAGGAAGTTCTGAGGTGCAGGTGCTTAAGTGCTGGGCTGATGACTGAAAGGTTGGCAGTTCAAACCCACCTGCAGCTCCCCAAGAAGAAGACCTGGTTACCTGCTTTTGTTAAGGATTACAGTCATGCAAACTCTATGGGGCAGTTCTACACATTCTATTACTATGACTGGACATCAAGTGGCCCAATATATCTTAATCCAGTATGTCCCTACTTCAGTGCAAACAGTGTGCACTGAAGTTCCCACTCAAAGGCTGCTGGTTTAAATTCACCCAGGAGCACCACATAAGAAAGGCCTCCCCTTTCTACGAAGATGGCGCCGCAAGCGAAGAAGGAAGCCCCTGCCCCTCCCAAAACTGAAGCCAAAGCAAAGGCATTAAAGGCCAAGAAGGCAGTCCTGAAGGGCATCCACAGCCACAAAAAAAAGAAGATCCACATGTCACCCACCTTCTGGTGGCCTAAGATGCTGAGACTCCGAAGGCAGCCCAAATACCCCTGGAAGAGCGCCCCCAGGAGAAACAAGCTTGACCACTCTGCCATCATCAAGTTCCCCTGACCACTGAGTCAGCCAGGAAGAAGATAGAAGATAACAACACACTTGTGTTCACTGTGGATGTCAAGGCCAACAAGCACCAAATTAAACAAGCTGTAAAGAAGCTCTATGACATGGATGTGGCCAAGTTCAGCACTTTGATTAGGCCTGATGGAAGAAGAAGGCCTGTGTTCGACTTGCTCCTGAGTATGATGCTTTGATATTGCCAAAAAAATTGGGATCATCTAAATTGAGTCTAGCGGGCTAATTCTAAATACAAATTTTTCTCTCAAAACCAAAAAAAAAACAAACAAAAAACAACCTCGCCCTCTGTTTTTATAAACGTGGCTAATGTCAGTTGTCACTGAGTCCATTCTGATGCACGGCAATCCCATGGGATACAGAGCTGCTATAATCTCAAGGGAGCCGACTGTCAGGTCTTCCTTCTGCAATGCTTTTGAGTGGGTGGGTCTGAACTGCCAACCTTTGTGTTAGGAACCTACTTGTTCCTAGAGTCAGAACCAACTCCTAGCTGACCCTCCAGAAGGTTCTGGGGAGGTGATAAATTGCACACTTCTCTTCGGAGCTGCTAGGAGATCTGAACTGCCAGAGAGAGGTCACCTTTGGGTCAGCAGCATAACTCCCTAGGGACTATGCCAAACACAAAACAATTGTGTCACCCACGGGCCAGTTTCAGACACTGAAAACTCTTAGAAATGCAGTTTTCTTCTAAAACACAGAATCTACTTGACAGCAGTAATTTTTAGTTTGGCGTCTATTTCCTAGTGCTGCTGTATCACAAATACAAGTGGGCAGGCAGCTTTAGAAAACAGACATTTATTGTTTCATAGTTCCTATATGGACTGAAGTTAAATGTCAAGAAAACAAAGATTCTAACCACTGGGCCAATTGGCAGCATCAGGATGGATCGTGAAGAGATTGAGATAGTTAACAGTTTTCATTTACTGGGCTCCACAGTCAACACTCTTGGTAACAGCAGCCGGGAAATCAGGAGACGAATTGCATTGGGAAAGTCGGCTGTGAGGGACCTCTCAAGAGTACTAAAGGGCAACAATGTCAGGCTGGAGACTAAGGTGCGCCTGATCCGGGCTATAGTCTTTACAATTACGTGCTATGCATCAGAGAGTTGGACAGTAAATACGGCTGATAAAAAGAGGATTGATGCCTTTGAGCTGTGGTGCTGGAGAAGAGTGTTGAATGTACCATGGACTGCTAGGAGAACAAACAGTTTTGTCCTGGAGAGGGTGAAGCCAGAGTGTTCCCTGGAGTCAAGGATTCTGAAGCTTCGTCTGACATATTTTGGGCATGTTGCAAGGAGGTCCTTGGAGAGGGACATCATGTTTGGCAGAGTGGAGGAGAAGTGAAGGAGAGGAAGACCTTTGGTGAGATGGATCGATTCTGTGACTGGAGCGGTGGGAATAAGTGCATTTGAGATGGCTAGGTTGGCACAGGATAGAATAGCATTTAGAGCTCTTGTACATAGGGTCGCTATGAGTAGCAAGTGACTCGATGGCACATAACAACAACAGTTTAAGAGACAAAAAGTCTGAGTGTAGGGCACTGGCTCTAGGAGAAGGCTCCCTGTGGGGTCTAGCAGGTCCTCTGTCTTCCCAGCGTTCTGTGACTCTCCGGTGATGTTCAAACGGCTTTGTTCTGTATCTATGCTGCTCTTTTGATCATTCAGATGTGATTAGGTCAATAGAACCAAATGTCACAGGACCAAGGGTGATAAATCCTGGCTTAGCTAAATGCCATTGCTTCTTAGCTTTTTTCTAATTATCTATGTTTTCGTAGACCATCACCACCACAGTCCACCCCTTTACCTGGGCAATCTTCTACCTGAGCCACAGGGCCACTTCTGCCCAGTTGCTGGGCTCTGAGCCATGGCCTTAATCATCTGACCTCATTTAATTCCCCGAGATAGGGCTTCTCACTGCCCATGTTGTACAAGTGAGCTTCAGACAGATAAGTAGCTGCAGTGAAGTCCCTGAGGATGTGTCTAAGAAGCCACTTCCTATGATTGGCGAATAAAAGTGGACTCTGTCCACAGAGGCAAAATTGCTAAAGCACCAGAATGTTCTGAAGCACCTTCAAAACCCCTACTTGTATCAGCCTGTAGGGGGCGCCCACCCTGTTGCCTTCGGGAGGCAGTGATGGGGGCTGCTATCTGCACGTGGCAGCGAGGACATTCAAACACTGCTCTCCACCTGGGCCGGATGGCCGGCTCGCCAGTGCTCAGCCACGGGCCTGGATGTCCTGGGGCCTCAGCTCTCGCTCTCCCTCAGCCAGGAAGACAAGGAGCGCACGGTACAGCAGGTGCACACCGAGACTGCGGCGCCGGGCAGGAGGCCAGCCTGCCACCACTCCATAGCAGTGTCCTTGTTTCTGGTTGGTCAGCATCTGGATCCCTGGGGAGATTGGAGCAGAGTAACTAGGCAACTCAAGGAATCCCCCAGCACAAGTGGGTCACAATGATTCCATTGGAGATTGTCCCCCAGAGGAGATAAGCCAATGGAGCAAAGTATGTGCATGTACAAATACAGAGCCGGTGCTCCCTAATTGCTCATCAAACAAATGGACAGCCCCTGAGGACAAGGGCTTGAGGGAACTGGTAGGTCAGGGCTCCTTGTGTGCCGTGTGCCAGGCACCCACCCAGAGCATCCACCAGGCATGCCTCCCGTGTGTAGGCCTCCACGGCGACCACGTGCTGGAAACAATGCAGGGAGACAACGCCATGGCCGCTGGCCCAGATGTCCAGGATCCGCTGCACCTTGGGGCAGGCCTGGGAAGGGGGGGCAGAACGGAGTAAGGCCAAAAGTCATTCTCCCAATCTCCCAATTCCCTCTGCCCCAGGTTATAGCAGCATGCCTGCATTTGCCAGGACTTTGACCCTTGTCACCATACTTGCTTTCCTGGACACCCACGGTGGCCAAGGGCTTCCCAGAGGTGGGCATCTGGCCGAGCTCGTGTCCCCTTGCCCACATAGAAGATGGCGCGAACGAATATCCGGAAGCGTTCGGCCGGGGTCAGCTGGAAGGCTCGGCCTGGCAGGTCCTGAGTTTCCCTGGACAAATGAAATAGCTTAGGGAGGGGGGAAGTGGTAAGAGGGGCCCCAGAGGCAGTCCCCAAGGTCACAGAGTAGCTCTAATCTGGTCCATTGACTCCCTCTTATAGGATCAGAGAGGGTCCCTATTTCCTGGAGCCATCTGACCCCCTGAATTGGGTCAACCCAACTTGAAAGATAAGGAAGTATATGACCAGAGCGGGCCAGCTGCTCTGCCATGGTCACACAGCATGGATACGCCAATGCTGGAGGGGTCTTACCTGGGGTCCAGCAGCAAGTATGTGAAGCTAGACTTCACAATTCCCTCCCGCCACTTCCTGGCAGGGTCAGGCCGCTCAAATTGCTGGGCCAGTGCATCCTCATCAGCTTGGGCGTCTGGGATCTGACCCGTCTTCAGGGCCTTGGCTAGCTCTGGGCTGTGCCCTGCAAAGTCTGGGCCTGGGAGGGGAAACCGAGTCACGGGAGAAGGAAAAAAGGGCGATTCCCAGAGAGGCACAAAGCGAGGCTAGAGACGCTGTGAGCTCCGAAGGAACTAACCAGGCCCAACGCTGGCTTCTTCCAGCCGGCGGAGGTAGTGAGGTCGGGTGAAGGATGTGATGGGGCCGGGATTCTGTCCAAGCGCTCGGAGTTGGCGCAGAAGCTCCAGGTCGGACATGGAGGGGGCTGGTGAGCGCCAACACGTGGGGATGTAGTCTCTGACATCTGTGGATGGCTCTTCATCCTCTGTCAGCCAGAGAGCAGCCACATCACTGTCTTGGGACGTCTGGTCCTCGGTCAGGAAGAGGAAGTCAGAGGGTCCAGGCGACGGTTCCCACCGAGGGTTCTGGGCTAGGTGAAGCGTAGAGGAGCGGGGAGAGGAGCCACTGGCATTTGATGAGGCCAGAGTCAGGGCCTGGAGGCGGGCGTTGAGATCCACCTCCCTGCCCTCCATCATGGCTCCATGTGATGGTGATGGAGTGCCCAGAGGCTTTGGCATCCTCTGGGGAGGACAGACACCAGACATTGACGTGGCACCAGGGGGACTGTCAGGTGCCAAGTCTTCAGATACAGAGGCCTCCACGGCTGTGACAAAGGAGACCCCGGAGCAGCCATTGCAAAGCCCCAGGGAAGCCTCTGAGCTCGAGTCCTTGTCAGCAGCCTCCTGGGGTAGAGGGAGGGTGGGCTGTTCAGAAGCAGCCTCTAGGCTTCCACTGTCCTTATTGTCACCTCTGCCCAGATGGGTCTGGAGCACTGTGAAGTCCAAGTTCACATCAGGAGATCTGGAGAGGGTAGTGGCCAGTCCATTTTCCTCAGGGTCTGGAGGTGGGGAGAGATAGAGGGATAGAGAGGAAGGGTGCAGGGCAGGAGGGCTGGAGACATCTGCACTAGACTCAGAGGGAAAGAAGTGGTTGAAATTGAAGAGAGGAGAGAAAGAGAGAGTTGGGGGCAGAGAAGAGACCGCTAAAGACAGTCTGAGGCCATGGAGACCAGTCAAAGAGAGCCTGGGACAGCCAGAGACAGCTGGAGACGTCTGGACATAGCCAGACACAGCCAGAGACAGGCAGAAGTGGCTGGAGACCTCTGGAAACCGTTTGGGACAGTTGGGAACAGTCATACAGAAGAAGAAGACAGCTGAAGGATTCCAAGCACTACACAATGGAGATAGTCAGAAGAGTCAGAAACAGCCGGAGGTGACTGGCCATGTCCTGAGAGTTGGGAAGAGTTATACGGTTGTTTGTTGTTGTTATGTGCCATCAATTTGCCTGCAACTTATAGCAACCCTATATACAATAGCTCTGAACTCTGCTCTATCTTGAGTCTGTCTCACTGTCTCCAGCACACTTATCGACATTATCTCAGTTACTGAGTCAATCCATCTCATCTGAGGTTTTCCTCTCCTGCACTGTCCCTCCACTCTTCCAAGGATGATGTCCTTCTCTCAAGACTGGTCCCTCCTGGCTACCTGCCCAAAGTATGTGAGAGGAGCTTCAGAACCCTTGCTTCAAGGAGCAGTTTGGCTTCACCCTCTCTTAGCATCCCATAGTATATAAAATACTCTTTTCCAGCACCACAACTCAAAGGCATCAAATCTTCTGTCATCTTTGGTCATTGTCCAGCTCTCGGATGCATAGCAAGTAATTATGAAGATCATGGCCTAAATCAGGCGACCTTAGTCTCTAGACTGACATCGTAGCTCTTCAGCACTTAAAAACAAAGCTTAATGACAGCAGCTTAGTTATTAAACAAAACCAAACCAAAAAACTCCAACCAAGCCCACTGCTGTTGCGTCTGACTCAGATGACCTTCTGTCCCAGGAGCCTGAGACCATGCATGGGAGTCAGAAAGAACCAGAGACAGAGCCAGGGAGAGGGGGTACTAAAGTCAGTCAGAGACAGCGCAGAAAATGACCAGAACGCATAAAGCTGGAGGAGGAAGCCCCCGTCCCCACAGGCCCCATTTACCACTGTGCTTGGCCTCTGGCTCCTGGGACGGCAGTGGAGTCCAGGTGCGTGTCCCCAGCTCCCGCAGGACGCGCTCGCAGTCGCGGTGTCCCTGCTGCTCCGCCAGGTCCAGCGCGCGAAGCCCGTCCTGCGACAGTGCGGTCAGCAGAGGGCGCCCGCGGCCCCTTGCCGCCTTCCCGCCCGCGCCCTACCCGCCAGCCCGCGCAGGGTCCCCACCTGATCGCGCAGCGCGGGGTCCGCTCCCTGGCTAAGCAGCAGCTCCAGGCCGTGGCGACAGCCCCAAGCGGCCGCCACGTGCAGCGGGGTCAGCGCCTCGGCCGAGCTGAGCAGGGGCCAGGGAAGGATCAGGCTCGGCCCTCTGACTCGAGAGTCTCCGCCCCTCCGATTCAAACCCTAGATTCCCACCCTTTGGCTCCAGCGCAAACCAATACTCCGCCCCCGACCTGAAGTCCCAATCGCCCCCTTCCTCGGACCCTGGTCCCTGCCCCTGGGCCTCAAGCACCACCCCCGGACCTCGGGGTCCCTCCCCCTAGACTCTAGGCCTCGCCCCGACCTCTGACAGTCTGCCCTGAGCAGGGCCGCCTCACCGGGCGTTGGGGTCCCCGCCGCATCGTAGGAGCACCCCGAGGCAGCGGAGGCCGCGAGGGCGGCGCGCTCCAGCCGCCAGATGGATGGCTGCCACTCCATCTGGAAGCACCAGGTTAGGGTCAGCGCCACGCTGCAGCAGCTCTTCCACGTCCCTGCGGACAGGGGACAGAGGCGTCACCTTGGCTCCGGACCGGGTCCAGTCCAGCTCCGCCCAGACCCTTCGCTCACCGCGGCTCCTCCGCCCGCAGCGCCGCCCGTAGCAGCTTTGCCAGCCCGGTCGCCGAGCCCATGGCCCGGCTGGGGCCACAAGCCACCGGCCCCTGACGTCCCGCGCCGCCCCAGCGCGCATGCGCTGCACTACCCCGCCACCAAGCCCCCAGCCGGGCAGTGTAGCACAGCATCCGCGTCCACATCTGACTGCAGGTTCTCGTCTGGGCTGTCTCGACCCGGGATCCCGGGTGGCGCTCAGACAGGAACCTGGGACCATAGATAAGGACCCAACTGGCCAGTATCTCAGCTCAAAATTTGGGAGACGCGCCCTGTCTGTATGGGTGGAAGTACGATGGGGCATGGAGCACTCACAATCAAGTCTTCCAGAACTCTGCTGAGACCTCCCTCCTTCAGTGTGCGTTTCTACAGGGACTCGATTCTGACACATGACGAACACATCACCAGGCCTTACTTCTGAGGGACCCTGGTGAATCTGAAACATCAGCTTTGTGATTACTAGTCAACCACTTAACAAGTATTTTAATTTACATCCATCATTACTGTGCACGTTCTAATTACCAACGAATGTTAATAATTGTTTATTAGCAATTACAACTCTTCCCATAAGCGGCCTCAAGGTGAACTCCCAAAATGGTTCTCTGCTTACTTGACCCACAGAATCATGCAAATGGGGAGACTCAGATCCCCGGGTCCATTTTAAGAACACCCGAGAAACTGCCCAGGACTTCAAGGGATTGTATCTGAAAGATGTCACTTGGCAAAACAATATGCCCATTTAGGTATTACAGTGGTGTGGTGTAAGTGTGCCCAAGCCACACACAGTGGGGTTGGACACTAGATTTGCGCCCAAAAAAGAGTGCTGAGGTTTTGCTACCTGTGCTTAAAAATGCAGAAAGCAATGCTGAAACTTAAAGATTTAGATATTGAGTGGTCACCAAGCACATGCAGGCAAACCTCCCAAGACAAACCACATGTACAGAGTTCATGGTGGATTAGCCCCTACATGAGCTCCCACCCCCACCCATATGCAGATGATCCTTACTGAAAAGGAACACTTATGGCTCTGGAGTAAATAATTTAGCATCAAACAACTATATCATCTCACCCCAGAATAGCAAAATTTAACAGAACAGAAAACAAATGCTGGTGAAGTTGTAGAGAAACTGGAACTCTTACTCACCGTTGGTGGGAGTGCAAAATGGTGCAACCACTATGGAAGGCAGTATGGCGCTTTCCCAAAGAGTTGCAAAGAGAAATACCATTTGACCCAGCAATTCCACTACTAGGGATATGCCCTAAAGAAACCAGAACTGCTATCCAAGCAGATACATGCACACCTATGTTTATTTTGGCTTGTTCGCAATAGCAAAGAGTTGGAAACAACCCAAGCACCCATCAACAAAGGAGTGGATAGAGAAGCTGTGGTATATTCACACAATGGAATACTATGCTGCACTGAAAAACAAGGAACTCATGAAATATTATACAAAATGGAAGACCCTGGAGGACATTATGCTGAGTAAAATATCTCAGTCACAAAAAGACAAATACGGTATGCCACTGTTTTTTTAAATCATTTTAAAAATTAATTTTAATGAAAACTTACAGCGACTTTGTATTTCCATTCATTCATTCATTGCTGCACGCACCTTCTCCCTGCCAGTTCCCCCCAGTACACTCTTCTTTTTGAAAAGTAAAAGAAAAGTTGCCCCTTGTTTTACAATCCCTCTGCCCATGACCACTCCACTATGCATCCTTCGTTCTGGACTCCTGTCATGACAAAAATACCTGATCACATATTCCTTTTAATAAACAGTTTTCTCCATCATCTGTTTCAATGCAATATACATTATTGAACCCATCTTTCTCGGTCTCCCCCCAACCCCAATGTCAGTCCTGTTTTACAACAGTGGCACTATGCAGTATTTGTCCTTTTGTGACTGAGCTATTTCACTCAGCATAATGTCCTCCAGGGTCACCCATTTAGAATAATTTGAATGAGTTCCTTGTTTTTCAATGCAGCATAGTATTCCATTGTGTGAATATATACCGCTTCTCTATCCATTCATTTGTTGATGGGAACTTAGGTTGTTTCCAACTCCTTGCTATTGTGAACAAAGCCGTGATAAACATGAATGTGCAGGTATACCACTGTTATAAAAGAGGACTGACATGATTAGATATTATTATTATGACAGGAGTCCAGAACGAAGGTAGCATAGTGGAGTGGACTTGGGTGGAGAGACTGAATAACAATGAAAGAATTTTTCCTTTTCCTTCTCAAAAAGAAAAGCAATTTGGGGGGCAGGGGTGGGCAGGGAGAAAAGTGTAACAATGAATGAATGGATATCCAAAGTCTCTGTAAACTTTCATGAGAATAAATTTAAAATAAAAAATATATTAAAAATAATTCAGCATCAAATAAAATCTAAATCCATTTTTTGAAATCCACAATTATTAATAAGCAGCTGAAGACTAAGGTACACTTGACGCAAACCATAATGCATAAAGCTGACTGAAGAATTACTGATGTCTTTGAATCGTGTTGAAGAGGAGTGCTAAGCATCCCACGACCTGCCAAAAGAACACATATGTCTCGGAAAAGATGCAGCCAGAGTGCTCCTTGGAGGCAAGTATAGTGCACCTTTGTCTCACATACATATGGTATGTTGTTAGGAGGGGGTCTGTCCTTGGAAAACGACATCATGCATAGAAAGGTGGAGGAGGGAAAGACCCTCAACAAGATTGAAAGACACAGTGACTATAATGGTGGGCTCAAGTAGCAACTATACAAATGGACTTCACCTGATGGCCGAGACAGGATTCAGATTGATTACATTTGTAGAAAGAATTGTTGAAGAAACTCAGTATCAGCAGTGAGAACTAGGCCAGGTACTGACTGTGGAAAAGACCATCAAATACTCCTATGCAAGTTCAACCTGAAAAAAAAATAATAAATCAAATCTATAAGAACCAAAATTTGACCTTGAATCTATACCAGCAGAATTTAAAAAACCATCTCAGAAACAGGTTTGAGGCCTTAAATGCTAATGAACTAAGTAAGACCCGATGACCTGTGGGACGGTATCAAGAATATCATCCAGGGAAAATGCAAAAGGTCCTTACAAAGACAGAGTAGGAAGGAAAGACTGAGATGGATGTCAGAAGAGACTGACTATTGCACTAGAGTGTGGAGAAGGCAAAACAATGGGAGAAATCAGGAAGTTAACGAGCTGAACAGAATATTTCAAAGGGCAACTCATGAAGACAAAGCACAGTATTACAATAAAATGTGCAAAGAGCTAGAGTTTAAAAGAACATCAAAAGGGATAAACTCTGCATTTCGTAAGCTGAAGAACTGAAGAACAAAGTCAAGCCTCAAGTTGCAATACTTAAGGATGCTATGGGCAGAGTGTTGAATGATCTAGGAAGCATCAAAAGAAGATGAAAGCACACATGGATTTAATTTTTAAAAGGTCTCATGCATCAATTTATCCTTTCCCCCCCCCTCAATTTATCCTCTTCAGATTGTGCATTTCTGGTTGTACTTGGCAGTCTCTTTATACCTCATACTAGCACTTCTAAGCTTGATCCCAGTTCATCTCTTATGAACATTATAATTTTGGGCTTTACTCTCAGGTCTCTGATCCACCTTGAGTTGCTTTTTGTGTATGGTGTGAGATGCAGATCCTGTTTCAGCTTTCTGCAGGTGGAAGTCCAGTTTTGCCAACACCATTTATTGAAGAGGTTATCATTTCTTCATTTGATAGCTTTGATTTCCTTGTCATATATCAGTTGACCATCGATAGCTGGGTCTCTTTCTGAGTTCTCAATTTTGTTCCATTGGTCTATGAGCCTGTTATTGTACCAGTAGCATGCTGTTTTGGTTACTACTGCTGTGTAGTAGGTTTTGAGTTCAGAGTGTGCTATGCCTCCCAACTCATTTTCGTTTCTCAGAAGTGTTTTGCTTATTCGGGGTCTCTTGCCTCTCCAAATAAATCTGATAATTTCCCTTTCAATCTCCTTGAAAAATGAATTTGGTATCTGGATTGGGATTGCATTGAACATGTAGATTGCTTTTGGTAGGATTGTCACTTTCACCATATTGAGTCTTCCTGTCCAGGAACAGGACACATTGCCCCATTTCTTTAAGTCTTTTTTTGTGTCTTGCAGAAATGCTCTGTAGGGTTTTTTAAATAAGTATTTTGTATCTCTAGTTAGGTTCACTCCCAAGTATCTCAATTTGTGGTTGGCTACTGTAAATGGTATTGCTTTCTTGATTTCCTTCTCTTAGTTCTCTTTGTTATTTTAGAGGAATCCTATTGATTTTGGATATTGATCTTAGATCCTGCCACTCTACTAAGTTGACCTATTAACTCTAACAGTTGAGTCTTTGGAGTTTTCTCTGACAATATGATATCATCTGCATATTGCAACAGTTTAACCATATCTTTGCCGATCTGGACACCTTTTATTTCTTTCTCTGGTTGTATTGCCTTAGTAAGCACTTCCAATACAAGACTGCAAAGAAGTGGTGACAGTGGGCATACTTGTCTGGTTCCTGTTTGCAAAGAAAATGTTTTCAGTCTTTCTCCATTGAGAATGATTTTGGCTCTTGGTTTTGCATATATACTTTTCACTATGTTGAGGAAATTCCCTTCTATTCCAATTTTTCTGAGTGTCTTTATCAGGATTTTTAAAATGCCTTTTCTGCATTAATTTCTAAGATCATATCATTCTTGTTATTTACTTTGTTAATATAGTGAATTACATTGATTGTTTCTCTTATGTTGAACCATC